CACACATACACACCTAACTGTCTCTTTTCTTTACAGTCTCATTGCACAAGCATATGTATGAATCCAGGGATGAGGATTTGAGTTGCTTTGGCAATTTACTTTGACATTATTGTATTTCACTGCTATGGATGGAATGAGTTACTTATGGGATTTTCTGCCTCATATACCAAAATTGTTTGACCTTGGGTACTATGCACTTGGCTTTAAGAGGGATTGTCGTGTGCTGTTCTGCTCTCCCCTCTCTCTTGCATGTACATATTCACACATACAGAAACAAACAAACAGGAGGCACAAACATGTTGTCCATCATAACTTCCTCCAGTGCTGTTCGGGGGACTGTAGTACTATGAGGAGTCCTCTGAACAGAGCTTTCTCGGCACCCTTACAAAACTAGAACTGCACCAACTATTTTTACAAAGTTCAGTAACTGTAGCCTGTAGTTCCGATATGCTCTTGATGACTTATGACTAAATTTAGAAATAATGTGAAAAGTTAGGTAAGAAATTTATTCAATACCAGAATTCAGTCGTCAGACATGTGTTCTTTTACAAGCAATCCTGTTTCTCTCACATGTCTTCATTCACACACCCATCCCTACCTTTTGCAGGAGAGGAGGGTGAACGGAGGGGAGCGTTTCTATGAAACTGCTTCCGTAGCTTTTGAGGATATATGGAATATGGCTCATTAGGTTAAAACTGAGAGGGGATGGCAAGTAATCCCTCCCTGTCATGCACTTAGGATTTGAGAAAAGGGGGGTCCAATATTGTCAACCTCCCCAAGATATGGATGACTAAATAGTCATTACTCTCCGTATGAATTCTACACTTCCCATCATATATTCACTGTCCTCAAACTCAATCACTTGCTACCTCTATGCCTAGCTTGGCAGTTGCTCACAGTTGTGTCTAACACTCTGTAAGAATTAAACACCAGAGTGCAACATAGACCTCATTAAATGAATTCTACATCTCCAGAAATGAATCTGAAACAACTCTACTCTTCTTGATACGTTCTCTTGTGTATTTCAAACATAATGTGAAAATGTGCATGTATAGGGACATAGCTCATATCCTTAATTAGTTTGTACCTCTGCACTTCAAGGGAGTGTAAAAACTCTTGCCTACAAGATTTTGTGATGACAATAATTCCTCAGGTTCTTGTTATCTTTTACTTGTTATAAATCTTAAATAAGGATCCACATCAGGATAGATTCCTAAGGCAAAACCCAGTCTATGTACCCTTGGGCAAGCTGCACAGTTCCAGGGGATCCCAAGTTTTCTATACAGTACTTAGAAAACCCTGGAAAGGGTAATCAAAAATCAGAATAAACTTGATGGCCAATCCTCCTCTTCATCATCATCATCATTATCACCTCAAATGGGTGAAGAGTATGATTATTCTACCTTGGAGCTACCTCTGCTGTTTGGAACCAACCCAATATATTTATAATACAGCCCTACCCCATAAGTCCAGATACATTGTATCCAAAGTCAACCAAGTTATTTTGGCACCTAAGGCAGACATTCCCATGATACCCTTGCCTAACCTAATTAAACCCAAATAAAAAATGATGCTTAAAGAAGCCTGACATTTCTGCCTATGTGTTATTGTCAACCACATCCCTAAATATTGAATCAGTCTGACTATCAGACTATAGTATTTGTATTAAGCCTACCCAATTTTAATCAAGTGGAAAACAGTTTGCTACTGTTAATAATTTTTGAGGGTGCCTGGGATTCTATGTCAGATTTCTTTATTTAATGGCCAGAATCCTACTGGTTGGTTTTGCCAGCAGAAGTGCAGTGGTATAACGTGGAGTGATAAATTACTGCTAATTAAAAAGTCACTGCCTGTATCCTTTGTCATACACTACTGTAGTTGCATGAGTTGGTATGTGACGAGGAATACCAGCAGCAATTCCCCACTACAATTTCTACTATTTGTGTAAATAACCAATAGGATTCTAGTCACTATATTTGGATTTTAGTCTTTCTCTAAAGACCAATAGGGCGAATATATCATCACATACTCTTTCTTACATCAGAGATGGGATACAGTAAGAGAAAGTGACTGGCTAAGGTCATTTAGTGAATATCATGACTAAGTAGGAATGTGACTTCAGTTCTCTTTAGTTAGGCCTAGTCCAGTACTCAAACCATTACAATAATCATTCTCAACCATGGATAACCCAGGTGTTCTTCGACTTCAGTTCCCAGAAGGCTTGACCACCAGCTGTGTTAGCCAGGGATTCTGGGAAGTGCAGTCCAAAAACACAAGGTTTACCCAAGGCTGGGAACCACTGCATTATACCACTTCTATCGTGTTTCCCTGAAAATAAGACAGCGTCTTATATTAAGTTTAGCTCCAAAAAACACATTAGGGCATATTTTCAGGGGATGTTTTATTTTACAGTCATGTCATCCTCTTCTGGTTGCTGCACAATGGTGGAGGGCGGGGTTTCACTTTACTGGGGCTTATTTTTGGGGTAGGGCTTATATTACGAGCATCCTGAAAAATCATACTAGGGCTTATTTTCAGGTTAGGCCTTATTTTCAGGGAAACAGGGTATAAACCCTAGCCTTCTCACAATTTATCAGGCAGATTGGTTGGGATATATGTCAGATAAACTGGTTTTCTCAGTGTTGAACCATTTTGGCTATTTGTGATTGAATCTGAAGATCTTCCTCCATGGTTTTGAAATTAGATTCCTAGGAGCTCATGAAGTTTTCAGTGAGTTATCCCACTGCTACTTTTTGTTCCTTCAGGAAAGAGGTTTTAATACTGATTGTGTCTAATTATTATTTTCTTTTTAAGTGGCAAAATGAAGCCATTTCGCTTTTGAAAATAATGAAAAGAAGCCAGTCATTAACCCGCCCATTCCACTCAAAAACAGAATTGATTAAGAGAGGCAGTTCATGGGGAAATTAACAATGATTTGTTATTAAATCCCCACCAGTGTTCATCAGGAAGGAATAAAACAGTCTAAAACTACAAAAGGAATATTGTAATGGATATTGAAGGGAAACCTTTGCTAAACAGGACTTAATATCTTGTGAATAAACACTCTAGGGGAATCTTCTCCATGAAAAAGGAAGAAGTTAACTGTGGATAATACAGCTCTATATTAAGTATTTGTGCCATTTTAAATCTGCTTTCATACAACTGTGGGAAAGCAATGCTAAAAGGTCTTATTATGGAAAGAGCCCTAAATGCAACCCCAAAACATGAGTCTAGGATCCTCACTATGAAGACAGTCCATAGCATACATAGGATGCACAGCAGATGAATTAATACAGAAATAATTATCTAAAACACAGAACACTGAAAAGCGCTTATTTATACGAAGAAACAAGAGAACAGGTTTTACGGCCTTGACCCAGATCCTTTCTCAGATCGGATCAAAGTGCAAGCCTTCAGCCAATGTACCTGCCAACTGTTCTTTTCCTGCAATCCACCTCTCGGGCACTTTCCTCTCATATGAGGAAGTACTCCACTACTATCTCTTTCAAGGTCTTGCACTGAGAAGTTTCCAAAAAAGTGAAAAATACTACCCCTCCGGCCCCAGAAAAAGAAAGAGATTCAGGAGGGGGTCATTAGCCCTTAATTTGACTACGGTTCAGAAAGAAGGAAAGAGGTACTCAAAAGGAAAGGAATGAGGCAGAGATGTGTGCAAAAAAAATGGTTTTAAACTGCAACAGGATCATTACCTGCTCCCTCCCAAATGATTACCAGGGGGTAAAACGTTATACCCTGAACTACAACCTGTCATTGTATGTGTGTGTGTATATGTATATATAGGAAAGAAAATGGAGAGAGCATCATAGTGGCTATCTCCACATTCAGCAAGAACCTCTAATCTCTACAAGTTACACAAGAGTATGAGAGTACGTATATTAGAATAAAGTTGGAGAAAAAGGAAATGTAAGTATGGAAAATAAAATGGTAGATGTGAAGTCCTGAAATAAGCAAATCCATTGATATCTGAAAAACAATTACATTCAAAATAGTTTTAAATGTCTACAACCTTTAACATCTCATGCATTTTCAATCTTGGCAGCAACTTTTTTTTTTTACTACCACCCATGGAATTTTCCCTACAGAAATTCTAATACCAAGATTTTTATAACATTTGAGGTATACAGAGTTGCAGATATAAATTCAGTATTTCAGATTTGGGTCCTTTCTACAATTAAGTCTCCTTAAGCCCCCCCTCCCCTGAATGAACAGACAGAGAAAAATTGAACCAAAAAAAGAAAATAATTTCCCCTACTAAACTTATTCTTGTGAAAGTATTTCCCAGTACATTTTAAAATTAAAGGAAATCAGAAAGAAAACTCTGCAAGGTTTTACCTTTTTACAAAGGAAATGAAGATAAACTGATACACAGTTCAGTCTCTATATATCTGCTCAGAAGTACATCCCATTCTATTCCGTGAGATATACTGTATTCTGAGGTAAATGTGAGTAGAACTTTATCTTAATTTCAGCTGTATTTGGACCATAGTTTAGTGATATGAGTATCAGCCTTAATCTACCACTGGGCTGTTGTGCTACCATAACTTTTTTATTCAGCACAATTGCAAGGAAGACATGTAAAGGTTCTATGTTAGGTATGACTGTGGTTGAGTGTGTCACCCCCACCCTTAACCAGTTAATCTTAACTATGTTTAGTAGTGGGGGGAAAACAGTTTCAGGAACTATGACCTAAAGTTGGCTTGGTGCTTCCCTCTAACAAGAGTTAAGGCTAACCAGAGTTTATCTAAGTTTCAGTGACATGGCAAGATGTCATTGGCAAAGAACTAAAACCATCACAGATGTCTCCTCTCAGCCATGCCAAAGGAGAAGGGAGAGCACATGAACTCATTACTTGCCTAGACTAATTCTTATACCAGTACACTAGTATTTAGCACAGAGCTTGGAAGCATTAATGCCAATGCTAATATCAAGTTCATAAGTCCAATAACATTAATTCTTAACAGTGTGTTCTTTTTACATTTAAAAAAAAATTTAAAATTGCTAAATCCCTTCCCCCTATTTATTATGCAATCTCTTTTTGGCAACAAATATATTTTTAACTGCTTCCAAACTCTGATTTAGCATTACATTCAAATTATCTCATATCGTTTTGGCCAGGGGCCAGTGGGAGATGGCAGGGAGGGAAATGAATTTGTCATTCTTGGCAAAATTTACCAAAATCAAAAATTGTAGTTCTTATGCTGTTCTGCACAATCAATGAAAATATGGGTAAGTGCAAAACTGTATCAAACTGCTGCTCAAAATAAATATTTGAACCATCTCATATACTACAGAATGGGGGGTTTGAATGCGAATGTCTAGACAGCCAAAATTTTAAAGAATCAACCCAAGTATAGGGATTTCAGCTACAGGAATGGAAGATGCTACTTTGCAACGATGAAGGGGAGAACACTATTTTAAAAAGTAAACCGTTTAAAAAATATTCTGATCTTACTTTCAAATTCTGTTTCTTAAGAAATACCCTGACCAGTTAATTTTTTTGCCATATTTTCTACATATCTTCGTTTACGTAGTTTTAAAAAAGAACAGAAAGGTTCCTAGAAAGAAGACACAGAGAGAAAAGTCCTGAGCATCATGGGAAGCAGCGGGGGAGGGCAGGATTTAAGAGGATGTTAGTTTACCAGACCAGTGTTTGAAGGACTGTTTTTTTTTAAAAAAACCTAGTTACATTACCCAATAAGGTGGCATTGATTGATGCCCCTAACAATGGGAAAGTAAATAAAGACACTAGAAAAACTGACAGAAAGTGCTAGCAATATATAAAGATATGTACAGTTAAAGGGGGCGAAGCTTATCCTGCCCTAGATCTCTTAGGGGCAGAGTCATGGCAAAGTTATAAAACAAAAATATGATGAGAGTGGCAAAGGGCAGTGTATTGTATAATACTCAATTTCCTGTACCATTTGCACTGGCCAAACCCTGTATTGGATGCAAGAAGTCAAGATGGGCACTTTCCCTCACTATTCCTATCTTGGAGCCCATTAAGGAACAGGGAAGGAGCCTTCGGCTGTTCACTTTGTCTGAGCAAAGTGTGTCATTGTATAATCTGAAGATCGCCATGGTGTATACCACTAGGGAAAGGTGCCCCCAACCTCCTGCTAAGGTGCACATCTGAACCAAATTAAAGGTACTGTATTGTTCCCAACCATAAAACAGAAGAAGCCCCAAAGAAGTAACTTCATCTAAAGTGCAGCAACTCAATGCAATCAATGAGGCCAACAATGCTGCATGAGGCCCACAGTGATGAAGTCACCAAAAGTCAACATTTTTACTAAGCTGGGCTACTTTGATACCTGTAGCTGCTGGCTGAGTCCATTGTGCTGAAATCATCAGTGGGTGACAGGCACAAAAACCTTGACATCATTCTTAGTAATCAAGATGAGCAGTACTTTCACTGAAGGTTGAGAAGGCCTCTTCAAACATCAACAAGACTGGCTTGCCCCAAAGACTGACTTGTACAAAACTAACAATACCTACACAACTGACTTATTCGTCTCTGTGATGCCTTTTAGGTTTATATCAGAGCCAATATACTGATCAACCTTTATCTCCATAGGCATCATCTATAACTTGACAAATCATAAAATGTTGATGCCACCAAAGGTCCACAGTGCTGACACCATCCTATGTTGATGGTGAGGGCATCAGAGGTCAACGAGACCCACAGCGCTTACATTATCTGCAGCTGACAGAGTCCACAGTGTTGACACCATTGAAGGTGTCTATGGTGTTGGTTGGACAATGGAGCATCTATAGGGTTTGGTAGTGCTCACAACATTTAAAGTTTCAGAGACAGAGGGTGCCAACCTCTTTGTATATCCACACATGTTGTCTGCAGTCTTCAATGTCTTAGACAACGACCCACAGCAGTGATGATGAATGTTGGTGAATAATGTTAGTATTATTGTTGTTATCAAAGACTGATGGTGCCTGGCAAATGTGACATCATCTAGAACTATTACCAAGGCTATATTATTGATTCCATGAAGGAATCTACAGGCCTGGTTACTGACAATTAATTCAGCCTTGATATTGTATCAGGACAGCAGAGATGTCAGAAAACACGGGAGGGGATATCAGCAGCATCAAGTTAATGAAACCTATTAGTTTTGACATCTTCAGAAGCCCTCAGAGATAGGGCAGTAGGTGTCCTCTAAGAAACCAAGCAGGCCTCAACATCACTACATCTTGACATAGCATTGTGGGTTATCACCACATCTCAGCAAGCCAACATTACAATCTAGATTGTCAAGATTTGGAAGGTTGGATGCACATCACTGAGGTCAACAAAGACTGTGATGGTGTCATTATCAAAGACCAGCCTGGTACTTGATCTCAACCAAGATGGAGGCCATATGGCTAAAAGGAAGTAGAAGAGGAAGAGGAGAGAAAGAAAAATAGAGCCCCAATTAAAATGGTGAGCACCAAAGAAAGGAAGGGGGGGAGCAGAAAAGGGTGAGAAATATGGCCTTGGAAAGTCAAAACGACCTGAGTTGGGGAGTAGGGACATCTCACACAGTGACCTCATTTTTGCTGCCAGTAGGGAGATGTTGGGTTGGATGATGCCCAGGGATGAACTGGACTTGATCAATGGTGCTTTGCCTTTTGGCTGCAAAGCCTTGGCGCCGGGCAGCAGCTTGGCTGGTGCTGGTCTCCCAAGGAGCAGCTGTCTTGGGAGAATTATTAGAGGCGGGATGAGAGTTCTTCATCATCACATGATGGTGGTCAAGCATGGGGGTACTGCTGGCACAGACATTGGTCTGAGACATGGCCTTTTGGTGGCCCAGATGCATCTCCTGGAAGGGACCTGTGCGCTGATGGAGACGCTCAGGGGAGAGCAAACGCTCCTGAGAATGCAAGTTTTCACGAGAGAGGAGGCGCTCGTGAGATATAACCCGCTCCCGTGGAATGGTGTAGTCATAGTGTGATGGACGGTAGGTTCCTCCACCACCACCACCGTCTGAAAGGATATGTTCCTGTGACATGACACGCCGTGGGTTGTGTGACTTCTCTGAGTAGGCATCCCTGTCGTAGTTCATCTTCATGGCATGTAGGGGGAGTGTCCCACGTGTCAGTTCAGCAAGATGGCGCCGTTTGGCATAGAATTCGTCCAAGTCTTTCTCAGCTGCTAGGAGACAGGGGAAATAAGTCAGATATCATTGGATGATGGGAAATGGGCTGGTATATATTAAGGAAAGGAAATTTAGGGAAATTGATATGAGGACATAGGGGTTTTCTACATTAAGTACATACAGCAGAAATCTCCATTCTTCCTTCACTATTTTTTTTTAATGAAGCATCTACATAAAGCTGTCATCCAGGCTTTGCTATCCTGCATTTTAGCTGTGATTTCCCCATATTTTTTATATTAGAGATTTTTTTTCACAAGAAGAAAGGTGCGGCGTAATCTCTACAGGCACAGGAGCCTTTTCTACTATTCTTGCAGGTTTTTCAAAAGGCAGGGTCTTCAAATCGACAGAGACAGAGAGAAAACAAAACACTCTGTTGGGTGTTACTAATCTCTTTTTTAAAATCAATCCTTTAATTAGCACTAGCACTGTCTTTTCCAGTGATATTTTTAATGAGAGAGAGAGAGAGAGAGACTATAACACAATAATGCTATAATGTTAATTTTAAAATAATAACTTTTAAAAGCATCATTTTCTAACATGACAGTGACCTGAAACATTTAAAAACCATTTTAAAAAACTGGCATAATTGTATTCGAGGGCTATAGCTGTCTTTCATGTTTTAGAAAAAGCTCCCAACACAATGCTTATTAAAAGACTGATTGTAAAATACTGTATATAAAAGGTAACAGCATGGTGTTCACCATAACAGCTGTAGTTGCAGACTAAAATGCTATTGGATTTAGCATAGCATAACATTGCATCTGCATTAGTTCATGGGATGTTATGCCCGGGCACTCTGCACAATGAACAGCACAAGGGACCACACAAAAGACTGAGCAACTGCGTCCATGCAACTGCTTCCTGGACAAGACATCCAACTTGGTGCAAATTTCACAGTGGCTTGCAAAACTTAAAATTATGCAGGTGTTGCTACGCAATAGGATTTTGGTCAATATTTGCTGGGCTGCAGATGGACCCACCAGCAGCAGATACATCATATGGAATTGCATAGATGACACACAATGTGATCTATGCACAGTACGATCTATGCACACAACATCTTCATACCACTTTGCTGGTTAGAAAATGGTAACAAAGTATTTCCAATGGGCAGCTGGGAAGTTAATTGCAATTCTGCTAATAGTTTGTTTGTCTTATTTACAGGCCACTTTTTTCTCAATAAGGAAATTCAACTTCAAAGCAATAGCTGATTGATGACATGAGCCTCTCTTCCGAAACAGATTTATTGTTACATACTTAGAAGAGTAGTTATTGATGAAAGGGGGAGAGAAAGAGAGGAAGAATTCTCACGTCAGGTTTAAAATGGATCGTCTTTCAAGGCCAAACTGGATGTGACAGGGCAGCCACATGTATTCATTCACGTGTCTCCTCCATTCATGTGTAAAGGGTGCTTTCAGATGAACTCCTGTTCCTACCAATTAAAAGGCACTGTCCAACTTTTACTCCTTAATTAACATATGTGAGGATAGTAAAATGACAGACAAAGCAGTGAAGAAAACACGGGAAGGGGCTCAAAAATAGAATGCGTCATCTGGATCCCTCTAAAATTCTGTGAATGTGGCAATGCAAAAATCCTTATCTGGAAGTGGATGACAACAGACAAGGACAATGCACTGACAGATAGGAACATAAAAAAAGGCAAGGAAAATGAGAACTATGTGTTGGAGGGGGGAGAAAATTCACAGGTCAACATCAGTCAACATCAATTTTGGTACACCTGTAAAAACATGTCACTATATACACCACCACCACCACCACCACCACCACCACCACCATCATCATCATCATCATCATTATTGTTATTATTGTTATTATTATTATCCCTTCCTAAAGGATCCAACTTACCCAAGCGTTTGAGTGAGGAATAGCGGTTGAGTTCAGACTTGACGTCTGTCTCGTAGGATGGAGGCAGATGGGAGAGGTTATGGAAGGAGCGAGAACAGCTGAGGGTGTTGTACTTTGTGTTGGAGTGGCTGGGCGTGTGGTTCACGTGCCAGTCTTTTAAATGGTCAGAGAAATGAAAGAAAACCCATTAGTTCAACTCACACTGGCTTTCAGTACTTTTCGTGTTCAGTTTGGGGACGGGCCATAGCTCAGTAGCAGAGTGCACACTTTACATGCAAAGGTCCTGGTTCAAATCCCCTCTTCCCTGCATTTTCCAGGGGGGTGGGGGAGAGAAAGAATTCTGCCTTACACCATGGAACTGCTGCCAGGCAGATTTGACAAAACTGGGCTAGATGATCTGATTCAAAAGGAAATTTCCTACATTTTTCATTTCCAAAAAGGAGCTTCTGTACTAGCCTTTTTTTCTGTAATGGACATCATTTGTTCAGACTATACTCACAAATGGGTTGGTCATTTACCCATTACCAAAAAAGTGGAAATGCATTATCAAAATAAGAGAACACAGATCCATGTACAACGGAGATGAACTAAATAATATATATATACATGTACATTTAGAATGGAGATGAACTAAATAATATATATAAATGTACTTTTAGAAATGATTACAGTATTACATTTTAAATAGAAATACAGTGCATTTCTCTATAGTGAGAAAGACTATGTCCTTACTTAACTTATTGTTTAGAAACTGTTGCAGTGCAAGTCTGATTTCTCTTTTTATAGTGCTTTTATCTTTAAACCAAATTTTGACTAGATTGCCCTTCAAACAACTTTAGATCTTCATCCCACTTATAAAGCATCCCAGTGGCACAGTTGACAATGGGCTGTGATCCTGGTTGTGCTTACCTAGAAGGAAGTCCCACTAACTACAGTGAGTAGACATGCATAAAATTTATTTTGTTAAAGAACTACCGCCCATATTTTACATGCACAAATGCCACAGATTCCATCCATGGCATCTCCAGTTAGAGCCCATCTGTCCTTTGTTTATTTTGTTGCATTTCTTTGTCACCCAATGATAATTAAGTTCTCAGTAGAATGATTTAAAATAAATTTGAACAAACAATAATTCCGTAATACCCAGATCAAGTAAAAGTGCAATTTAAGCAAAACCACACAAAAAAGGTAAAAGATAAAGGTTCCCCTTGATAATTTGTCCAGTCATGTCCGACTCTAGGGGGTGGTGCTCATCTCCGTTTCCAACCCATAGAGCTAGTGTTTTGTCCAAAGACAATCTTCCTTCTGTGACGTAGAGTCATAAGCAGAAGAACATTGCCACAGGGCTGTTTGCTAAGATGCTACAGCGTCACACATTTTCTACACCTTTGCTCTGTGTGTTCCATATGCTACTGCTGATCAAACTGGTCCTGACACTTAGTACCGTCCTACACTCAGCCCATGTTTTGCATGCACAAATGCCACAGATTCCATCCATGGCATCTCCAGTTAGAGCCCATCTGTCCTTTGTTTATTTTGTTGCATTTCTTTGTCACCCAATGATAATTAAGTTCTCAGTAGAATGATTTAAAATAATTTGGAACAAACAAACAATAATTCAGTAATACCCAGATCAAGTAAAAGTGCAATTTAAGCAAAACCACAAAAAAATAGGTAAAAGATAAAGGTTCCCCTTGATAATTTGTCCAGTCATGTCCGACTCTAGGGGGAGGTGCTCATCTCCGTTTCCAACCCATAGAGCTAGTGTTTTGTCCAAAGACAATCTTCCTTCTGTGACGTAGAGTCCAAAGCAGAAGAACATTGCCACAGGGCTGTTTGCTAAGATGCTACAGCGTCACACATTTTCTACACCTTTACTCTGTGTGTTCCATATGCTACTGCTGATCAAACTGGTCCTGACACTTACCCAAGGTGGCCGTGTGGTGCTTGGGGCTGTTGACATTCAAATGGATGTAATTGTGATGCATGTTATCTGCAAGGCAAAACAAAACAGAAATACTGAGACTAGCTGTTACCTTTCACAGGCTAGCTAGATGGAGATTCATGTGAAGCAGCCACTAGGGGTCACCCGATTCAGATTCTTTTCTTTTTTTAAAGTCACTTCGAATTTGTTTAACCAAATGCCAGCCTGCTTCACAGCCCCAGAGAAGGAGAATGGTGTGAATTCGGCCCTCCACCTTTGCACTAAGCAAGGGACGATGTGCTCTTGGGGCAACACACTAAAAAAGGCAGATTTCCTAAGTCAGCGGTCATTTCATGGTAGTAGATTCCTGGCTTACGTGGGGCTGGAGATGCAGTTGTACCTGAATTTCCTGTTGTCCATAAAATGAGCTTTTGCTTCTGAAAGCCTTACAGATAGACTCTCATCAGGAGCTGAAATTATTTGTATTCCAAATACATGATTATGGCAGTTCTCATCTGAGCATTCAGTATTTTTAAATAAAGCCCATGTTTGCCTCCCGATAACCTGTCACTGAACAGAACAAGCTGACTGAATGCGTGAAAGCCTTGTACTGTGACAATCAGACATTTTTAAGCACTTTGGAAACTCCCTTTTCTAATGATAGCCTATCTGTAAGGTAACATTTGAAGTCCTAGCCAGTCTAAACAGATCTAGCTGTCTTTTAACTGGCAACCCTGGCATTCAGTTGTGCGCCTGAGAATGTTTCTGAAGAAATGCACATGGTGGGGCTCAGATCCACACTACACAATTACAATTCCTAGGTTGGAGATCAGAGAGTCTGAACATAAAATCGCAGAACTTGAACAATATACCACTACAGTCCTGTTGGCACTCACCTCTTGATTTCGCGGTGAATAATAAAATAATCATGTGCCACCAAGTTGATTTTGACTTATGACGATCCTTTTCAGGGTTTTCTAGATAGAGAATACTCAGAAGTAGTTTACCGTTCCCTTCTTCTGAGGGGGGGGGGAGCCCTGGGACTGTGTAGCTTGCCCAAGGCCACATAGGCTGGCTCTACTCACAGAAGGCACAATGAGGAATCAAACTCTCAGTCCCTGGCTCTGCAGCCAGATGCTGAAACTACTGAGCTATCTAGCCATCTTTTGCAATTAGAAAACTCATGCCTCGCCCTGACAGCTTGTAGACTAAGTTTAGAGCCCTTCACCAAATGGGAGAAGCTCTTAATAGATGAGCTACCTATGCTGACTGGCCTCCTAGCATTTTTGAGAAATTGCAGTGGGGAGGAGAGAAGTGCATAACCCGCCATTCTTTTTTATTCTACCTGGAGAGTATATGTCTGAATGAGGCCCTCCCTCCCCCCCAACAACCCTAATATTAATGTTCAAGGCAATACAAAGACAGCCAGACAGCTAGAACCGGTTGTCATGGCAAACAGGCTGTTTCCCCACAAGCTTCCACAGCTTAATTCCCGCTTTAGATATATAAAAGAGGAAGAGTGAAGATGAGATTTTCTTCCAAAAAAAAAAAAATCTCCGATAAGGGAAGAGGATGGGAGTAAAAAATAAGACAGGAAGAATTGTTCAAGGCATGTAATGTTTGGCTCAGGGCGTTGCCAAGATGTGTAGGTATGGCTTCCCCTCTTCCGAAGGGTACTGTTCTGGATTCCAATTTTGCTGATTTAATCGGGTATGCCTCGTTACATGACACCCCCTTGCTCCAAGGCTGAAAATGGGAATTTCCACCTGGTCATTCATTCAGTCCTTAACACCAAATGGGAGCTGGAAAAAGTTGTTTTTTGTGTGTGTTTTTTGAACGACAACTTCTGGAATACCCTGCTTAATCTGACTTTTCCCAGCTCTGCCTTAAACTATGGTTTGCATTAACCAAAACATAAGCATCTATAAGATATCATTGTTTGATCTCAGAACTACGCAAACCACGGTTGAGCAATCTTCATGTGTTCCTGCCTTTCTTCAAAACTTCATGGAAGCTACTCACAAACAGTCATGTCTCAAGCACAAATGGCTCATAACTGGGACAGAGAAGATGATATTTTTAAATGAGGCACATGTCTGTCGTGGTCCACAGTCTGCCCTTGCTTCAACATATAGAACGGCACCAAATGAGAGTTTGTCCAAAATGCGGTTTGCAAATTTTGATTTCAGAATCTACTGTGGTACCCAATCATAAACAAAGATTTGGCTCCACCATTCTACCAGAATTACGATTTAGGCACTGCATGCTGTGGTCTGGAAGATAATGGTTGGTCAGTCCCACAGCTTTTCAAATTGAAAGAGAGAACTATGCCATGTACTGTTCTTGAAGTAAAGGTGTTGGCTTTTAAATTTTAGCTTTTTAATGTACTTTTAGCCAAGGCTTTGTCAACAGAACATGGGCTTCAGGTTGATTTCCTAGTCACAAAGATCAAAAAGCTCACTTCCTTTGTTCCCTCCAGCAAAGCACCATAATGGAGACCTTTGCCTTGTTCCTTTTACCACATCCTGACCACTAAAGAACTGATGCCTTTGAATTGTGGTGCTGGAGGAGGCTCTAGAGAGTCCCCTGGACTGCAAGGAGAACAAACCTATCCATTCTGAAGGAAATCACCCCTGAGTGCTCACTGGAAGGACAGATCCTGAAGCTGAGGCTCCAGTACTTTGACCATCTCATAAGAAGAGAAGACTCCCTGGAAAAGACCCTGATGTTGGGAAAGCGTGAAGGCAAGCGGAGAAGGGAATGACAGAGGAAGAGATGGTTGGACAGTGTCACCAAAGCTACGAACATGAATTTGACCCAACTTTGGGAGGCAGTGGAGGACGGGAGGGCCTGGCGTGCTGTGGTCCATGGGGTCACGAGGAGTCAGACATGACTGAATGACTAAACAACAACAAACCCTATCACTGAGTTGCAGACACCACTTGGGTTGCCAATAGACCAAAAAAAAAAAAGACATGCAATTTAACCTGTTGTTGTATGCTTTAAAGCAGTTAGAAACAAGCTGATCCTTTGAAGGGCACAAAAAACATCTCCACTCTTACTCCACAGATCAAGGTGTCCCTAACTAGATCTCTATAGTGGGGACTCAAAAACAGGCAGCTCCCAGAACTCTTCCTTCCTTTGCGAAACAGGGGCTAACTCCCCTTTCCTCTTCTTACCGTGACTGCTTTTGGAAGGTTTCACCGTGTTGAACAGGTTCTTTGGAGGACGAGCTGAGCCGTTGTCTTGGAAGTTTGAGTTAATCACGAGACTGTTGTTACGTTCTGTGCATGAGCTGGTACCTGCTTGATGCCTGAGAATGTCAACCAAAGCCCTAGTAAAAATAAAACAAAAAACGAAGAACCAATTAAAATGATTAGCAAGGCAAATCATGGATTTGTTCTATAGAGTGGATGAAGGCACCCCAGACATACATATTACCAGCTTAATCCTTATATGATAGGCAAGTTCTTAGCATCCAGGAGCCCTTTTTGCCTTCTTCTGGATCAGCAAAGGCCACCCCCTCTAACACCCCATCCCCAAAATCCCCTCCAAATTTGTTGCCCCCCAAATTGAGGGAAGGGTTGATTTACCCTCTCAGCACACATAATAATGTTGTGTGAAAATGCATGTTTTAGAGAGCTTTACTCTAGTAGTAAAAGGTTCAGAGACTATGGCCCCAGAAGAGTATTCAGAACTATACTGTAGGACCACAGTATCCATGGGGGATCAGTTACAAGTTCCCCCACCCATGCCGAAAAACGTGGAAGTAGCAAACACTATACATAACATGGTCTCTGTCACCCTCTGGTGGCCGGTTCTGGTGAATACACCATGAAATATGTAAAATATGCATATCTGGGGTTTTTAATTTAATATTTTCAAGCAGCGGATAAGTGAATCTGCAGATAATGAGCCTACTTCTGGATGCTACACTTTAAGAAGAATATGGGCAAACTATAACCGAACGGGGCAATGCAGGTGATTGAGGAGAATTAACAACCCACCAGATGCTATAGAGAAATGTCGAAGGAAGTAGGGGCATTTATGTTGGAGAAGAGAGGACAGGGGGTGGATATGATAATATTCTTCTAAAACATAAAGGACTTTGACATGCAACAGTGCAAAAACTTCTTCTGTTTTCTTCCTGGAGGGGCAGATCTAGATCAAATATGGACATAGATTATGTGAGACTAGACTCAGAACCTGGAATTGTTATTTTAAAAGGCACTGTGCCTTTTAAAATTACTTATTGCGGCAATGCATTGCCCATCACATGGTACTTGTAAGTACTGTAATGTGGTACATTAAGAGTGCATTAATACATTCATGTTAGGATTTTTGTTTTCAAATTAACAAAAAGAAATCAGTAAAAATGGCAAAAAGCACTGTTCCTGAAATAAGAAACAGACCTTATTTATTATGAAAAAAAGTGAGAGATCTAATATTTGTCCTAGTTTCATAAGTGTTAGTACAGTGCTGTTCCTGAAATAAGAAACAAACCTTATATATTATGAAAAAAAAGGGAGAGGTCTAATATTTGTCCTAGTTTCATAAGTGTTTAAAAATGACAGTATTAGTCTTTGTAACTCAAAGTTAGCAAAAAGTGACCAAAATCCTGTTGCATAGTTATACTAGGCACAGTGATTCCCAATCTGGGGTACTTGTACCTCCAGGGGTATGAACCAGGGCATTTAGGACCATATGGAAAAAAAATGAATAGTGGAGGGAAAGGCATATACATCAACAGTGTAAGTAGCTTATTTACATCCAGGGCAGTGAGAAACTCATTGACTTCTTCCTTCTCTCCCCACCCACTACCTGAGAACCCAGCCAATTGACTTTTGCTCCAAGGCGATATCCGTTCTTGTTCTGCCACGAACCCTGGGGCTTGTGCTACCTGCTCCTTTCCTAATGACAGCAGTTTGTACAGGACAAAATTCCTTATAGATTTTAGCTGCTGCTGCTGGTGTACTCATGCATATGAAGAAGCAGCCTGAAGATGACAGGGCAGAGCATCCCCCATAGACTCATCCCCCCGATATGAAGGGTAACATTTATGGAAATGGGCTGCCAAGGGGTACACAAGTAAAAAAAGGTTAGGAACCACCGCGCTCACAGAAAGGCATAACTTGCAGTGGCATGTTGCTGCTTATTAATAGAGGAAGGGCAGGATATGTTTTCAGTCATACCAGAGTGTAGGATACATAATAATGGGCTCCAGCTACAGGAAGCCAGATTTAGGCTTAATATCAGAAAAAATGTCTTAACTGTTGGAGCAGTATGACAATGGAACCCATTACCTCTGGAGATGGTGAGCACTCCAACACCAGAGGCATTCAAGAGAAAATTGGACAACCATCTGTCAGACCTGCTTTGATTTGGATTCTTGCATTGAGCAGGGGGTTGGACTTGATGGCCTTATAGACCCCTTCCAACTCAATTATTCTATGATTCTAAGTCATCACTTGCATTCCTTATGACACACCAGTGAGGTCACTTGGTGCGTGAGAAGGAATCTAAGCAGTGACTTGTTTTTAGTTAGTGCCAATTTGCTGCTAGGAGTTATGTCCATGCTTTTCCACCACCGTAATTCTGCAACAGCATTTTAGTAAATTGGGGTTACTTTTAATACAACATCTCCAAGTTGCAAACAGATTTTGGTTGAACACTGAGAGTAACTTCTTCATAGTAAAAGCACTTTGGAAACTCAATCAGATGTATGCCTGTCTGTGATTTTGGACTATTCCCAGAATTCCCCAAGAAGCATGTTGTCTAGGGAACTCTGGAGGTTATAGTCCAAAAACACAGATATGTCCACCTCTGGGACCAATTAAGTGTGGTCAAATCTCCTTCACTGGAAGTCTCCCAACAGAGTCTAGACAGCCATCTGTTGGGGTAAGCGAGTTCTACTCTTTCTGCATTGAGCAAAGGATTTGGTTTAGATCAGTTCTTCTGCCCTCCAAATCTTTGGACTTTAAATCCCAGAAACTCCACTCAATAGGCTGATAGTGAAAGATTCTGAGAGTTGAAATCCAACTTATCTACAGACCAAACGATGAGAACCATTAGACCAGCAGTTCCCAACCTTTTCAGCACCACACCGTCATTTTTTTTTTATTTCTGATAAACTCTTACACCCTCCCATTACTTCTTTTCAGCCCCTTTACACAAACAATTCAAGCTATGGTTTTGAATTTGGGATAAATACAAAAACTGAATAAAGATGATCATAAACTTAAAGTAAGCAGAAATTGCTTCTCTTGAGAAATTTTAAATTCAAGTAAACATAAACAATGAAAATGCATTAAATCTGTCAACTTTTTTTTTTGTTTATGAATAGCTCGCAGTCTCAAACCCCACCTTGGTTGTCTTCTTGCCCTTCCAAGGGAAGCACAGTGTCCCAGGTTGGGAACCAACCATCTGTGAGGTTTCCTCCAGCTCTATAGTTCTACGTCAATCATCAGTTCCAGGTGGATGTGCTTTTTAAACTTGCTCCCTTTAGGGAACACATTCTACACATTGTACTTAATTTCTGCCAAAACCCGCTAGACTCTGCTGTGGAATCCTTGAACATGTTTCAGAGTAGTTTTTGAGGGCGAATGCTCATTTCAAGCAGAGCACGGATCTTACTCGATCAGCCTCACCATCACTTATAGCAAAGTGAGATGTCCTGCAATAGAGCTAATGCTGTGTCTTTTCTCCCACCAACACGACACTGGTTAACTTTGGGTTTGATTTGGGTTTTTCAAAGAAGCCTACAACTGTGCCAGTTGGAAGAGAATTCTAGTGCCTCACATGACTCCAGATGATGTGGGAGATCTAATTCCCAGCCTCTCCTACACTCCATAGTTCAAATGGTTATGAATATTTGGACACCCTGATAAGTTTAAATTTAATAGGGCAGGGGTGTTCTATAACCAACTGGAGCTGACCTAGCCTTGCCTTTCAATCCAACTCCAGCCCTGCCTTTTTCGGACCATGTCCTCTCTCTCGGCTTTGACGCCTCTTTTTATGACACAGCACCTCACCGTTTGCCCATTCTTGGTCCCTTTTGACATTTTCTGTATGCACCTGCAATATTGGACCTCATCATTGCTTGGAAAAGTTACTTTGTTTAGAGTCCTCATACTGGCCAGGGAACTCTGGAAGTTGTAGTCCAAAAAAAGTAACCTTTTCAACCTCTGGATTTAGCAAACCAGGAGAAGAGGTAGTAATCTGGATACAGTACACCGAATTCTAACCCGGAGTGCTCCAGATTTACCTGCTTAAAGGAAAACAAAGTATACCATCCAAACCAGTTGAGTCCTAGGACCAAATGAGACACCACTGGGTCCCTATTTGAGAACTAGAACATAATATTGTCTTCCCCTGCGTTGCAGGTCATTTTTTTTTTTACCTGGGCACATTGAGTTCTCTTCCATGTGGTCTCCTCGAAGCTTTGCTGAAGAAGAATTTGATTCCAACTCCCACGGCTAAGGTGAAGCTAATGACGCCGCAAATGACATATACAGTGCTGTTGCCCTGTTGCTTGTTCCCATTTGACACATCGGGCCCGTTGGTAGCTGTGCCAGCGACTGTCGTGGCGAACCACTGGGGGCTGTCCCGACATTTTCCTTGTTCCAGCCTCCTGGAACGATCATCACAGCAGAAACGATACTGGCACGTGCCGCAGCAGAAACGGTACCCCCCTGTGGTACAGTTGAATGCAGCATCATATTGCCCCATGACATCGTAGTAGCCTTGGCATGTTTCTGAGGGCCGGGCCCTGCTTGTGCTTGTGGTGGTGGTGGTGGTGGTATTGGTATTCAATGACGTCAAGCGCTTCAGGTGGGCAAACAAAAAGGGCAATCCCCAGCTCTGGTTTGTGTGGTGCGGTACCTGAATGACAGCCAAAGCTGTGCGGCCGCCCAAGGTTTCCAGGGCTGCGCAGAGCATGACGGTTAGCAGCTGGTACATGGCAGATGGGAGGAAGAGAGGCGGGAACCTCCAGCAGCGTTTGCCAAGACAGTTTGTTCAGGTATTTAAAAGTCGTAGAAAAGAGATCGTCAAGGAAACACTGCGAAGACAAAAGGAGAACATAGGAAAAGGAATTAGAGCTTGATTGGGCCTGAACAAAAGTCCATATTGGTTCTATAGCCTGTTTCCCACAACAGTGGTAGGGCGAACCCTATCTTTAGGCATAGTGAACCAAATGGTTCAGTTGTCAGATGTGAGTGTCAGCAGCAACCCCTACAGCTGCTTGCCTGTGTTGGAGGACCCAATGTCCTAGGCCATCCAGCCCTTTAAACTGGTTCTCCAAACTTACTACTAAGAAGGATGCTATCTATCACTAGTACTGAAGTGGGATTCATTGGCACTCCAGTTGGTTTCTACACCTGAAATGGGGGAGGTGTTGTCATTTTGCTCTTTGTCTCAGAATACAAAAATTCCTTGTGCCAGACCCACACAGCAGCTAAACAGCTCTTTTCCAATAAGCCTATAAGCAGAGCTTAAAGGCAACAGACCTGTCACATATCCCTGAACCCTGATGTTCACAAATACATTACCTTGTCTTACAGGTGTCCATCATAACTATTTTCAAAGGGGTAGCTGAGATAGTCTGTTTCAGCATGCCTAACCAAAACAACATGACTTGTAGCTGGAGAACTTTGAAAACCTATTTTTCTTGGGGTGACTGTTCCCAATGTACCCCAGTCAGTATAGTTCTGTTGGAAGGGGGATTCTGGGAGATGTAATAGCAGCTCTTCCAAGCTCAACTGCTGCTAACAATCATAGGCTCCAGAAACTGACCTTCAAAAAAGATCTGGGTTCATGATCATCAGAAAATATTTAGCCTGAGAATTCCATGTTAGTTACACGTTATATGAAGAAGTACTTTCTGTCTCTCTGAATCTACTACATACCCGGCATTCCATTTTACTGGCTGACCTCAAATTCTAATATTATGGAAGGACAAAGAATTATTTCTCCACTCTCCAGTTTCTCCACACTGTGTGTAATTTTATATGTTTAGTTTTATAAATGGTTATCAAGTCTACCACCCTCTGCAAGTTTAGAGCAAGTTCAATGATCCAACACAACCTGATGCTTTGCAGATGTGTTGTATTACAATTCCCATCCATGCCACTTCAGGATTGCAGGAGTTGTCCTCTATGTCCAGAAGGTGCCACTAGGGAAAGACTGCTTTTTCAGCCTTTCCTCCTAAGGGTATTTCTCCAAACCCCAGAAAATAAATTCTGCTGAGTCTGCTGAGAATTATGCTCCGAATACTTTAGAAACGTGTGCATGGTAAGGGGAAGCAGTATTCCTAAGCAAAGTTACTTAGCTATAGCTCGGAGAGGGGGAAAACAAATGCCATGGTATTTGTGGGCACTTCAGGATTATTTTGCCAGCACCACAACAAGTGACATACATAAGCAGATAGAAAAGCAGGAGAAGAATTAGTGTTTTGATACATGTCAACAAAGTTTAGAGCAAGTTCAATGATCCAGTACAACCTGATGCTTTGCAGATGTGTTGTATTACATGCCACTTCAGAATTGCAGGAGTTGTCCTCTGTGTCCAGAAGGTGCCACTAGGGGAAGACTGCTTTTTAAGCCTTTCCTTCTAAGGGTATTTCTCCAAACCCCAGAAAATAAATTCTGCTGAGTCTGCTGAGAATTATGCTCCAAATAGTTTAGAAAAGTGTGCATGGTGAGGGGAAGCAGTATTCCTAAGCAAAGTTACTTAGCTATAGCTCGGAGAGGGGGAAAACAAATGCCATGGTATTTGTGGGCACTTCAGGATTATTTTGCCAGCACCACAACAAGTGACATACATAAGCAGATAGAAAAGCAGGAGAAGAATTAGTGTTTTGATACATGTCAACATCAATAATTGTGGGAGATAGAGTTAAGAAGCTCTGTAACTCAAAGAACTTAAACTTCTTCCACCACTTCTAGGACAATGATTCTCAATTTTTTGTTCTCTGGATATTTTGAACGTCAGCTCCCAGAATAGCTGGAAGCTGCTTCCAGGTTCCTTGAGATTTTTGGGAGCAGAAGTCCAAAACATATACAGAACCAAAGATTAAGAACCACAGTAGTAGAAAGTATTTTGTGAAAAGCTATCAGTTTCACACAAAAGAATGTGACCATACCAGCCCTATATTTCACTATAGGGCTGAGAAAGTCAGGAGAAAACATTTGTTTCTGGGGACAAGCTAAGCGTGTATAAATGGAAACACCATTAGCAGAAAGCATGCAGTGCACAAGGTCCTAGGTCCAATCCTGAACATATTTCATTAAAGTATTAAGTAGCTAGTGGTGGGAAAGGTCTCTGCTGAGAATAGGCTGCACCAACCTAATGGATTAATGGCTGGAACCATCTCAGCAGAGCATAGAAAAACTCATTTTTGGACTATAGCTCCCAGAATCCCCTCTCTCCTGATTCTAGGAGCTGTAAACAAAGAAGTTTTAAAGTGGTACACCTGAAAACATGGATTTCACTTGAATCTTAAAAACCAAACTAATGTTTAAAATCAGAAACTGAGACAGAAAGATGAAGTATCTTTGGTCACTTTCTGATATGCTTGTTTTGCACCCTTTTAATGCACATTCAGCTTGATTTGTTGCAAGTAAAACTGACTGATGCACTGAGACTACAAATACTCAAGGCTTCCTTGTCCATTGTAGAGGAAAGGACAAGGAGCTCACTCATAAAGTCTCTTTGGAGCGTTCTACTCCCAGGGGAAAGGAGAAGGCAAAACTGTATGTGAGACACACAGGTCCAAATCCCTAAATTTTAGCCTTCCCTTCAGCCCACCTCCAAAGTCCTACTAATGCAACTCCAGTGCTAGCAAATGACATCTTTGGGCAAAAAAAACTGGTGGCCACTATGTTGCCAAGTCATCAGCTTCCCCTTTCTTGAAGTTTCAGGATCCACAAATGAGACCAGGAGGTAGGCTCTTGTGATGTCATAGAGTAAGAACAGACGAGACTTGGGAAGTGAAGTCTTTTTCCAGACTGTCCCAATACTGCAGCCAAGGCTTGTGCAACAAGGAGGCTCATGATTTATGACACTGGGGCTCAATTCCCTGCCTTGCTCCAAATTGTATGAAGGGTCTAACATCTGCACACCAAAAAGCTAAGATCAAGAGGAAGGGACTAAGGGAAGCTTCTTTTGGTCCCTTCCTCTTCTCTTAGTCCCTTCCTCTTGCTTATATGTTTATATAGACTTATATGTTTGCCAGTGCTTCTTGCTCTGATATTTACCTGTTCACCAAGTGATACACACACACAGCAATTCCTTGACACTTAAACCAATGCCCTAATAATAACAAGCCCAGTGAGCCCAGAGTCCAGTAGGGCCCTATGCTAGTTTCGACTGTGGCACCAAAAAAGGTTATGAGTCCACGTGCTTGAACTCACTTGCCCCTTTATTCAAGTGGTTCCACTCAGATATGCATTGGGAGGGGACAGGTATAATTAAAATGGCAGAATAACTTTAAAACAAGTGCACCAAACTGGCTCAGAACTAACCTTGCTGGCACCACTTGGAGGCAGTAAACCAGAAAGGCCAGGTCTGTCCACACATTCCAATTACCAGTGGTGCCTCGCTTAACGAGCGCCTCGTAACCAGAAAGGCCAGGTCTGTCCACACAATCCAATTACCAGTGGTGCCTTAACGAGCGCCTCGCTGAGCGATGAAATCGCTTAACGAGGGGCTCTGGGCCATCGCTGGAGCATTCGCTCAGCGATAGCCCCTATAGCGTTTTTTTCACTTTGCGCTATTCACTAAGCGATTCGCTTAGCGAATATCGCATAACGAAGCGGGGGAGAACAGCGGATCGGCGGTTCCAAAATGGCCGCCGGAAGGTCCGCGCCACATTTTCACGCCCTGCCCTCGCTTACCGAGGGCACGAAAATGGCGGCGCTATGGAGGAACATCGCTTAACTGTGAGTTTTAAAGCCATAGGAACGTATTGAACAAAGTTCAATGCGTTTCTATGGCTTTTTAAATTCCGTTTAGCGATGTTTCGCTATAGCGAAGGTTAATCCAGAACAGATTAACCTCGCTATGCGAGGCACCACTCTCTATTTATCAAAGAGTGGTTTACATGGCTTTGCAGGTATTTGAACCCAGATCTCTTGAGTTCTAGTTCAACCTTCTGTTCACTATACCACACTGGCTCTTCCTCTGTTCTTAGAGATGGCACCTTAAAGTGGCATTATTGTGAGGCAACAGGTTTGCCACACTTTAGATTTGATCTTCCAGGTTCCCTCAAAGTCACACCTCTGAGTGGGGAATGGATTCATCCTGTCCCTAGTACACATGGGTATGAAAGTGTGCACATAGACTCTAAAGCACCATACAATGCGCAGGCTGACATTTCACACCTTGCCACTGCTGAAGTATATTTTGGATCATAGATAGCAAGTCAAGGGCAATTATGTTTATCAAATATATCTTTCATTATAAGAACAAACAGTTTCTTGGCTTTTAACGAGGTCGGAGATGGGTTACTGCAGAGAAAACAAATGTTCAGGCAGAGCAGTGTTCAGGCAGAGCAGATCCTTTCATGCTGTGTAATAGTGGTGGGGGAAGGCAATTATAATTGCTATTAGAATGGGAATATGGCAGCAAGCATCCTGCTCTTTCCGTCGGTGAAGTGTTAGAAGATTCCTTCCTGAAGTCACTTTATCCGTTTTCTGCAGAGCTCCTTACAGACCCAAAAAATTCTATGCAGAGCTGGCCCTATCATTAGAAAAGGTGAGGGGCAGAAGCAGATGTTACAGATAGCCTGCAATTAGAGCTGAACAACTTTTAATGTTGGAGGGAGGTGACTCGGACAGTCTTTCAGGTTTCCAACATCACACTTCAAAGGAATCCTCTGCTTAAGTACTGAAGGTCAACTGCTAAGTGTTGCAGGAAATTTCCCCACACTAAACATAAGCTGGAATCCAATTGTAAGTTGCAACCAGAGTCGGCCCATTGAATCTGTGGGGATTTAGTGAATGAACTCTTCCATAAATCCTATTGATTCAATAAGCCTACGCTAGTTGTGACTTACTGCTA